TATAATGAAGTAACAATTTTGGTGGAATATTGGGGCTCGAAACCAAGCCGTAAATTCTTGAACGAAACAACAAATTATGTGTTTACAGACAATTAATTGGGAATGGAAGACTGGTACTGAAAACACCGACGTTTCTGTAAACAAGTACGTTTCTTTCTGCATACATTTGCTATATTTACTCTGTTTTGTTTAGATTGTCTTTAACTGTCACTCTCTTTCCTCCCTGGAATAAAATCCAAACGACCCCACTGAACACAAAATGCGGAGGTATAAATAATATCTACCTGAGTAACTCTTTGGGGCTCATCGGACTTCAGAGTGATCCGTTTAGACGGCCTTTCGACGGAAACAGTTTCTTCATATTAGTTTGAAGTTTGGTTTTGTTCAGCAATTGCTTCCTGCAGAAGAGCTCTGAAGTTTATTTAAATATCTGTGTTACTTTTGCCATGCAGTGGAGTGTTTCACTGAAGCAAAACCATAGTTGGGTTAACTCATAATAATTCTGTATAACAATATCAGTAATTTTTTATTCTTACCCACATCTTTTTCACTTTCCTTTTCAGAGTATCTCGGTCTACAAAACCGAGATTAACGGTCTTGGGAATTCGTTGCACTTACCACGTGACACCCTCTATCTGCAAAAGTTGACACTAACTTCGCCGACAAGCGGCGGTCGCTCGTTCGGTATAGTTCGCTTGCGGGCTAAAGCCAAGGAATTAATTAGTTTCAGACTACAAGTCTATTACTTTTCGCTCTGTTAGTGGTGATTGTGGTGTCATGAGCCGTACATACGTCCACAGTGGCTTTGTGCTATATGTTTAGTTAGGCACGTAATTATCAGAATGCTACTGATGGGCTAGCGACTTGCTTCGGATCACAGTACTTAGGTTTATGTGCAATTGTTTTGTTTTTATAAGTAGAAATTAGATGAAGAGAGAAAGCTGAACCATGGTTTCGAAATCAGGGAAAATAACAAGCCTATTTTGCTCTATTAGAGACGATTACGCAGTATATACTCCTACTTTTGTATCTTGCCTGTATTTCTAGGCAAGTTTACTGACAAACAGCGAATGCTGCTGATTGGTTTACCTCTGTCCGTTTGCAAGCTCGTAACAATGCCGCCTTCGAGGTGGGAAGAGATTTGGAAGAAATTTGATACTTAACTGAATCTGTAAAGTTGTCCCTGTGCTTAACTAATTAAGCATTATGCCATGAAGGCGTATGGGGGAGTGGATGTATAGATCCACATTTTCTTGATCCCCATTCCCGGAATAACTAATTTTGCTCTTAACTTTTATAATAAGGCTGAATAATATCTGAGTAATCAAAATAAGCAACTGCCGAAGTATTAACATTTTTCCTTTGGGAGGGAGGTAAGAAGGAACTTGTTAATTAGTATTTTACTATTATTTAAATATGTGCGAATATATAATACATAGGTAACTTTCGGGATGTGGGCCAAATTTCTTGAAGAGGAAAATCTGTGAATTATTTTTGGGCATATACGGCATTAAATGGACGGAGAGCTCTTCCAGAAAGAAGGCTGGTGAAGTTCTCATGGCGATTCATTATTAAATTATTTTAACGATACTGATTTAACTGTACAATCTACGAAAGCCGAAAATTATGTCATGATTTGACTATAATATTCATGCGAAACATTCATTTACGAAGAAGTACTCCTCAAATATTAAGGAAAATCTTAAAGGGACCTAAAACAGAGCAGTTAGTTCTGACAGCTGGGATCCGTTTCTTGTCTCTTGAATGTCAACGTGACGTCGTTGTTTCGTAAAATTAATTGACTATCAATTTTTAATTTTCAACTATTTGACCCTAATTAATCCTAATTTAAAGTTGCTTAATATATTGCAAATTTTCAGTTGCCATATGGGTGTTTCTGTATTAAAAACAAATGTTTCTAGACTCTGTTCTTCTTAGTTTCTTAACAATTTAAATACTCGTGATTGTGCATATACGGGAAAATCAGAATTTTCACTGCTGAATATATTTCCTAAATATTATTTGCATAATTTCTCTTCTTCAGCAGGTAACATACAAAGCGACAATAAATTATAGGGCGTATTTATTATGCTAGAAGAGTTAACTGCCACAGGATATGAAATAGTAACCGCAGACTACGAAGTTCATATCCTAGATATTTGAGGTTGGGACAACAGAGAACGGAACAAAAGTCTAGAAGTTTTTAAGAATTTAAGTGTAAAATATTTTAATCTTTTTCTGAGAATCTACAAGTTATGCAACATGCTACTGAGACTTCTAACAGAATATTTATTTACACATGCTGTAAAACGCTTCTTGGGAAGACCAGTATTTTCTTCGTGCCAGAAGTAGCATACAAGGCCCAGGCCTCTGGAGTGTAAGTGTACACATAGACCTGCGTGGGCTCACGTACCTGGACCCATATTATTGTATGTATATTTATGTCGAATCTGTATGAACGTGTCTCACGGTCTGTGACAGGGATAGGCCTGTAAATTGTGTGCTACAAGGCCTACAGATTTCACAAAATTATTCTAGGCTAAATTTAACACGGCCTTACTCTTGATGGAACTCAAGATATCACTGTTAGGTAGGCTACAAACCCCTAGGCTATAGGGAGTACACAGGCTACAGATATTTTAAAACAACGAATTATTAAACAGTCTGTACATTTGTTTCATGCAGTTAATAGTGCAAAGCTTCATTCCTATAGTTATTGCAAAAACATATTCGAAAAATTCCGCTCACAGTCACCCTCGTTTGATGGTGTTCCAACATACAAACTCCTTACAAGAAGCTGCCTTCTTAACCCTCCTTAACTGGTCCCAGAAAGGAATCACTCGTACATTTCTAACAATTACAATAACTTGAGTAGCGAGGGCTGTTGTAAGCGCATTTTAGGCTATACAGGAATATCTGGTCAATACTTGCTGTCATCCCAGTTCTTCATAGGCCTATAACGTGTAAGCCCACTGCAAAGTTAACTTCAATTTCTCTCGAATTTTCTGTCCAGTTTTCATTCTTAAGACATAATTATTATAGTGAAAATTTTTGTTATCGATTGGGAAATATTCCGACAAACAAAAATACCCTTATATAATTAATGCAAGCTGATAAGTTAGGCTAACGTAATTTTCTGTTAATAGAGATATTTAGGGATTGTGAATTTCATGGCTCTGAAAGGAATAACACAAATATTCTTCAATTACTTTTGTTTTCTCATGCTGTCGAAATTTCATAGTTCATAATGAATATATTAACGTGATAATAAATCAGGTTTTAGGCTTTCCATATGGTTACAATTAATATGTTGCTGGACATTATCCATCATCTTGTCTGTTGTTAAAAAACACGTCTAGTTTCTATTAAAAACACAACGTTTCGGGAACTGGAATCTGTCCCCGTCTTCAGGTAAAACCTACTCAGTTGGGTCCAATAGACAGAGCTAGCCCCTATCTCCGTTTTTAATAGAAACTAGATGTGTTTTTTAAGAACAGACAAGATGATGGATAATGTCCAGCAACATATTAATTGTAACAATTTACCATCATCACAAACTTTTAGAACTTATTTCCATCTGGTGTCTACTATTTTAAATTCTGGCACTTCCTATTTTTATTCTTTCATAAGAGAGACCTTAAATTTCTTCAGTGTTGTGGTAGTAACACAAGAGGAAACCAAGCGAGATTTTAGCTTTCCTCTTACGTCTGGTCTAGTGTCATTGTGTCAGTTTTGTAACAAGGATGGTATGAAGTAGTTGGCCTGTAAACGTCCCCAATATCATGGGATATTATGTCCAAATAAATGCAGCAAATCGAAATAACTTAATGCTGGATAAACTCAGTGGGACCAAATCTCTTGACAATACAGTAGGCTATTTAAGGAAGTGAGTCTGTCGCGCTAGTCAGTGGTCTTCTTGAGCCTTGTAAAGTCCAGCTCTGATACAAGGCTGTACAACTTGCGATGCCGTTACAGATTTATTGAACTTAAACACGTAATTCCCTAACTTACACCATGCACCACACAGAAGTTCAGCCTTATATTCGAAACATAAAGAAGTAGAAAATCCCTCGGTCTTGTGCGTGGCGTGGGACAAACATTCTAGAAACAACGTTTTGACTATGTTACTTTCATGTACCTCCTCGCGTTTTATTTTAAAGTGAAATTATTGTTTCTTACGTCTATTTGTTAATGAAATGTGATTAAGGACCAAATATTTGCACTGCAGAGTTTTTCTATGTGCCTTTACTCTTCTATCTAAAAATAAAATTATTTGAGGTTCTAGTGAGACATGGTGATAATCCTGTCTTTCCTGTGTGTTGTTTCACTCGGACTGTTCAATGGCTTCTTGCTAAATGCAATCGCAATTCATTTCTTGACGTAAGCCAGGGATTTTGTTGATCTTATGGCTGAAAAATTATTCCGTTTTTTAGTCTTTTTGTTGTTAACAACCTTTAACCTGTAGGACTTGAGACAAAATTTATCTTTGCATGGGCCTCAATGTTTTTGTCTGTACATATGACGCACCATTAAAGAATAGACAGTTAAACTTTATTATAGAAGTAGAGATTCTATTTCACAGTGAAACTCCTAGTGGCCTCCGAATTTGTGGCTCTTAAGCAAGACTAACTAATCTTAAACTTTCTTGAATGACAGCTTTTTCGTGAGAGCTTTTGCCACTGAGAAAACCCTGCATTTTAAGTCAGATTCAAATGACGTAAGTGCGGATGAGTAGGGCCCAAAAGCTGGCAGAGGCTTGTAACTTACCTTACATCGTAATGAAATAACGTAATTCATACACTCAGAGCCGCGTTTCCACCCCCATTACTTTGGGCTCTCATATTCCGGATGGATGAACACTGCGCGCATTAAGCCTACGTATTTCTCTGTAGGGTTCTTCAGACTCCAGCCGTGACTTATGTTAAGGTACTCATGGCTCTTCGCCTTACTTGTCTAACACAAAGCTTAAGTTAAGTGCAGTCACTCATTTTCAGACTTACCCGACACGGCTTCTCCGTTTAACTCCTCGAAAGTCTTGCTCGTCATCTGGAAGAGCGCGTCCAACGGCGACGTGTTCGGCGTCTTCCCGCTACTCGACGCCGAGGATCCCTTTCCCGATGACGTCGCTCTTTGAGCCGTCGAGAAGTGCCTGTGGTGCTGTGCAACAACCGCCGCACGGTGTCTCACCTGTGCAGCTGACGTGGTAGGGCTGTTGCTAATGGTGCAGTTGATGATATCAGGACTGGTACAACAATCACTGGCGATACTTCCAGCTGTGCTGGAGCGTCCGCTGCTACATGTTGAGCTTAGGGTTTCACTAGCGTAGCACATGTCCGCGGATTTGGGGCGGTGATGCAGAGGCGGAGGTGATAAGACGCCGTTCGTCGTGTTCAGGTCCCACGGCCTTACGATTCGCGCCGAGTTGGACTCACTGACTGCTCGCTCGTTCGTGTTAGTCCGCGGCCTGTGGTTCAGAATGTCCAGGATCGAAAACGACTTAACACCTGTAGCCTGATTGCTATTTATGTGCCTGGACGCCGGTAGGGCAGCAACTGTCACATTCGTCGGCGGTTGTTTACGGCTCGTCGTCAAGGCGACAGCAACTTTGTTTATCTGAATCATCTTGAGCTTCTTCAGGGGCTTGAAGTAGTCATCCTCGTCAAGGGTCTCCTCACTGTGGGTGTCTTGTTCGGCCACAGTTGTCCGCGTGCTGCTGAAGCACGAGGACGAGTTGCTGGAGGACGTGTCCACCTGCTGGGGACCTGACGGAGCAGGAGACGGACAGCCCACACTGATGTCCCCGTCGTCTTCACCGTCCTCCAAAGCCGTTCCATTGTTGTTCGTGGCACATGATGGGGAGGACAGAGGACTCGCATCTGACTTGGTGCTGCTACTCTGCACCACTTCCGTACCATCCATTATTAAGTTACTACACATGTGGAGGTCCTATCGGCAGGCCTGGTCTCGTATCTGTCCAGTCACACACTTCTTGCAATGATGCAGAATTTTGAAATTTCAACGCAAATATTTCTTTCTTCTATAATGGTAAATAGTTAATGAATTCGTAATTTAAATTTAATGTCACATTAGCTTACGCACTATATTCTGGGTCCATATGCACTCATTTCTTACCCATTTGACACAAAGCATTCAGTGAATTTCATTCTGTGTTGCTGTCACACTGAAGAAGCTCTTTATTAATCTTCGTCCAACGTACGTAAACCTTCTTGCCATTAACGGAGGCCGGGTAAAAGCCAAGAAACTTATCCCTTTAAATAAGAATTTTCATGAACTTGTAGTTATTTGTTCAGTAATTAATTTCACCGCACTGACCTTTAGGAAACAACGGAACGTAGACACTGCTTCGCTTCTATGTTGCAATACAAGACACACGATGCAAATCAACGCGGAAATATAACATTTGTCCAGTCTCCTGCGGCTGTCACACGGCTACAGAAGGAGAAAGCAGGCCCCGGCTCGGAGCTGTCATACGCTGGTTCATCAAAGCGGATAAATTACTGAACACACACACACATACACACTGACATTCTTCGTGTCGGAGCCCCAGACGATTCTGATGATGATTATTATTCTAGCAGCCAGTGGGAGGGGTTACTATTTCCGAGGGGATGGCGCAGAGGTGGGATTTCGTATTTTTAAATCGGTTCCTTTTTACTCGAAGCTTATCCAATAGCGTTTGCCGCAACTGATAATGGCTTAGAGGGGCGGTGGTGCTAGTGGTGGAGGGGAGCAAACCGGTGGAATTACTTTGTATAGGAAGGAGAAAACGAAATAATTTAATAGTTTCATATCATGTAGCAGGTTGAAATTTCTTTCTGAGTATCAGATGATTGCGGGATAGACTTGCGAACTTTCAGTGGTTCAGGTTTGGCGAATTGTGACCAGGACAGAAGGAAGTGACTCTGGATCCACAAGTTGACGTTCAAAGTAAAGAAGGAAAGTGTAAACTAATGGGCTGTTCCCTCAACATCGCACCACACAAAAACCTAACATCGGCTGTACGAGCTCTGCTGTCACGACAAGAGAACTGGTCTTTAGGAAGTTGTTCCAACAATCTACCCTCATCCCTCTCTCACTCCCCCCACCCACGTCGGGAAAACAGACGTTTAGCTAGGAAGATCCTTATGTCCTGCCCTAGCCAGGACACAACGGAGCTCCGCCTCCATCTCACGGATTGGTTAACTAACGCTCCGAAACTCCTCCTTGCAGTGTGCCAGGTAGACCAACCGTAACCACGGACCAGCCCCCGAGATGTCGGCTTGCTCTGCCTTAGCCAGGCATGTGGCAGTAATGGACTAACGTGACACTGTCAGATCTTTACTTCGGTACAAACAAAGGAGTAAAGGAACAAAAAGAAGTGATGTAGTGCGCGCACACACAGCACACAAGAACATTTACTAATTATCTTTCAGTTGATTCTTCTGACGTCAAGTAGGCGGTGACAGCCAAGCGTCAACAGCCACCCTCCTTTCAAACAGCGAGCGAGTATCATCACGTTCTAGAAACGTAAATCGAAACGGTGTTTAAAAGTTTGCATCCAAATTGCTTAAAACTGTAGATGGAATTTATGTTTCGAATTCAGCATCCGGCCATATTAATTTCGAATTTAGAGGATTATGGAGCTTGAAACTTTTGAATCCAAATTTCTTCAGACAGCAGTTCGAATTTATCCTTTGAATTCAAAGTATGTACACGCCCTAACTGGATTCATATTGATTAGGCCTACGATGCAGAAATCTGTGTCAAAATTGTAGAATGCCATTTTCTGGGATGTGGCGCCGCGTAGACATTGTGTGAACCGACGTTTCGGAGGAACGTATCGCCTCTTCTTCGGGCTNACGTATCGCCTCATCTTCAGGCTGCAGCCACCTGCTCACGCTGGTTCCTCGCTGGCGGAATTTTTATACCATGAAGAAAGAGGCGATACGTTCCTCCGAAACGTCGGTTTACACAATGTATACAGAGCGTCACATCCCAGAAAACGGCATCCTTCATAGCCACCGCCTCGAAAAATCTTACATGTGTCAGAATTGTTTAAAATGTGACATTCAGTTTAGGTTCATATGAATTTTGAAGCCTTTGAATCTGAAGAAAATAGACTCTGTAGTTTACATTCTTCAGATTCAAGCTGCAAGTTAGAGGCATGTAGAGTTCAAGCCCTTCGAATTCAAAACAGGGAGCCCATAATCATACTCTGTTTAAGTCACTAACACTTTCCTTCTCGCTACTTAGTCTAAGCCACCTGCTAACGCCGGTTCCTAGCTCGCGGATTTTTATACCCTGAAGAAGGAGGCGATAAGTTCCTACGGAACGTCGGCTCGCACGAGATGTACACGACACCACATCCCGGAAGACTGCATTCTTCTTAGTCACCTCTGTGAAAACCTCAAATCATAAAAATCTAGTAGTCGTTTAATTTGCAGCAGTAGGTCTATTGTGCCGGTCACGGTAGCCGAGCGGTCTAAGGCATGTACTGTCTTGGCTCGCTTGGAAACCGGGATCGTGGGTTCGAATCCCACTCAGGGCATGGATGTTTGTGTGCGTTTTTCTGTGTTTGTCTACAGGTAGAGGCCTTGCGACGAGCTGATCACTCGCCCATGTGTAAGATCTAGAAAAACCGAAGTGAACGGAGAAGTTCATGGAGGTAGGCCTAGGCCCACTGGGGCTGTACTGCCGAGGAAAGAAAAAAAGTTCTATTATGATTAAGGTACAGCGAACAGACTATCCTTACGCTATAGGCCTACACTAATGTCGGTACCTTCCGTCAGACACATCTCGTAGGAAAGAGGACAAATGAGAAGTTTTAATACCTGTAAGGATTTTCTGAACAATGTACAGGCTTTAAGCTTAGTTTGTGCTTAACTTAGACACTTCTTAGTGGGTGGGAACATGTGTGAAAATGGTTTTGTTTCCTTAATTACACTTAAATACAAGATTCTTGGAATATGACAGAAGCCCGAACAAAAGGCAGCACCCTTATTTTTCTAAAATCAAATAAAATAGAAAAATATTATTTGACATTTTCTAAGAAGCAGCATTTGACAAAATAACTGTTCGTATAATCTGGCTAATACGATAACCAATATAGCACAAATTCTCCAAAAGTGAGATGAATTTTCAAGTAATTTCTTGTACTTACTTTAAATTCGATTTAGTAAATGGCTCTGTGCTAAAGGAGTTTGGTAAGTCTACCTGTACTTAGCTATGTTTCTAACCATCCCCATGTAGAAGAGGGCCAACAGAGCCCTTTTGTACAAGCCCATACCCCAAGGGGGCCCAAAATATACCCTCATTTAATTTTAAATAAGTCATAAACCAGAACGTGGGAGTTCCCTTTAATCGAATTGTTGGCTTCTTATTGTTGTACTTTCAACGACATTCGTTTGCGTTATTTGGGTGGAGAGATTCTGATTTTATATTATTATATTTTGTCTTCTCTGTTTGCATCCCCTTGTTTGTGTCATGTTTGTGTTATTTTGGCGGTCAGCGCAACAACAACCAATTTAATTTCTTACATTGGTTTCGGCCCGTATTTAGGATTATCTTCAGGCAGTTTCACTAAATACGTCTCACGGTATAGAAATGATTAAAACTAATACGGATCCATATTGAGATGTTTCAGTAACATGAAACATATTTAGTGAAACGGCCTCAAAATGGTCCTAATTTTGTACCGAAATATGTAGCAGTTGTTAGATGAAACCATTGTAAAGAACTAGCTCGGTATATTTCTTTATTATTGCGTTTTGACACTACAAATTTATTACATTTATTTACATGGTTTTTGGAGTGGGATTGGGGCCCCACATTTGTAACTAACCTGGGCTCTATTCCTAGCTTTCATAAGAAGAATTTCACTATATAGTTACCAGACCAGTGCGGGCCTATATTCATGCAAAGCAGCTACTAAATATTTTCCTGCAGGAATAGGCCAGACGATTCGAAATGTGAGTAACGATTACTCAAACTAGACGGCGTCACATCCAGAAGAGTTAGAAATCTTCATAAGCACCGTGAATCAGATCTTCACAACTCGTATAGGCGTATTCCACACATTTTCAACTAGGCCTCTTATGTAAGTCAGCCGCACTTCAAACCTCGGTCATATCTAGGATATCAGAGAATTATATGTTTATTTTGCTTTTTCTTCTTTGTCTGGTTACGAAAAAGAAGGTTCTGTACCAAATGGTAGGCAAAGAAATTTGTTTACAATATTAGAATCAGCCTTGTCTAGGTTGTGCCTAAACGCCCGTCTGCTTTCTGGGTACGGCTGGCTGTGGAGACAGGCAGTCAGACACACAGACATGCGGGATTCTGAATGCTCCACTTTTTCAGAAGGGAGTTAATTATTCTTGAGGTCAGTGGCACTTCATGGGTAGGTAAGCCTAAGTTATTGGAATAAATTAATCTCTAAATAAATTAATTTTTAATTGACTCTAAATCACCTAATTATTCTGTTTTCATAAATCTTTCCGTCTTAATCACGAAACAGATAAAGGTAAAGTTGTCCCTGTGCTTAACTAAGTAAGCGCTACGCCATGAAGGCGTATGGGGGAGTGGCTGTATAGAACTACATTTTCTTGACCTCGGCACTAGTTGGGTGTCAGTTGTCAGATTCACGCCCCTGCCGCTTTACACCCGCGGAAAGAGCCCCTGTACCCATTGGATAGGAGACTTCACAAAACATGTATATGCATAAGTACTTAACAAACAGATTAATTTTTTCAGGGTGGATGAATCTATCTTATGTTAAATTAAACCACTCTTCGAATTGAAATATATTGGGATAACAATAGGCCTATAGACTGTAGACTATAGTCTTAGATTGATCCTGTTGCTTATGAAAAAGGGCTACAATTCCAAACTCCGATGCAGTCATTACTAAATACAGACATGCCCACACTTCCTCCACTTTCCACGTGCCAGGAGCAAGCCCATTCCAGTTTCGAAATGAAGTCTTGTTTCGTCTCCTCATACATAGACTTACAAACATGTATCCATGTATGGCTGAAGCCTAGCTGTGTTATTTGTGGCGAAGTGTGACGTCTGTTAGGTCTGTGTAAGTGCGTTCATTTTCTTTATCTGTAGGCCTATTCATTTATTCACACCTATTGACTTCAATCCGTATAGCAGTGACATTTTTAATTTTGTCTGATCCAGTATCCAAAAAGTATATTATTTGACATTTGTTAAAACATTATTTCCTATGCTTCAGTTTCAATATATTGTCATGAGTATTAGTGACTAGAGACTGGTTTTGGATCGGTAATTGTATTTACTGAACTCTTACAGAACGTAACTAGAAGTAACCATAGCACTAACGCTAATTCACACACTCTGCAGTTCACTACAGCAGGTACGAAATCTTCTCAGTCTGCTGTGTCTTCACCTGTCGTCGCCTGATAACGACTTCCAACGGCGTAGCTTGATCAGCTTCCGTGTTCACGCCCTTACTGGCCGACGACAGTCTTACAGCTAACTAAACTTTAGATCTGTCATTCTTATGACACCTCAGCATGGGGAGCATACAAAACACAACTCCCAGCATTTCTTCTATTAT